CTTTGTTGTTAACTAACTCTGTGTCTGTGGATTATAGCATGAATATCCTTTACTTTACAACCAATATTAATGTATAAAGGAGTTCACACCATTGTCATTTGTATTGCTGGGTCTTGAGGTAGGTTGAATCCTAATTTTCAGAGAAACTGACATACTGCTTTCCAGAGTGGTTGTACAATTTGCATTTCCACCAGCAATGGAAGAGTCTTCCCCTTACTCCCACATCCTCTCCAGCATAAGCAGTCATTGGTGATTTTGATCTTAGCCATTCTGACAGGTGTAAGGTGGTATTGCAGAGTCATTTTGATTTGCATTTCCCTGATGGCTAAGGATGTTGAACATTTCCCTAAGTGTCTTTTGGCCATTTGAGATTATTCTATAGAAAATTCTCTGTTTAGTTCTGTACCGCATTTTTAATTGAATTATTTGAAATTTTGATGTTTAATTTCTTGAGTTCTTTATATATTTTGGAGATCAGTCCTCTGTCTTTTTTTTTTTAAATATTTTTATGGTTTATTTAACTTTATTTTTATGTGTGAAGGTGTCAGATAACCTGCAACTGGATCTTCAGACATTAGTGAGCTAACATGTGGGTGCTGGGAATTGAACTCGGGTCCTCTGGAAGAGCAGTCAGTGCTCTTAACCACTGAGCCATATCTCCAGCCCAGTCCTCTGTCTTATATGGGATTGGAAATTTATTTTCCCATCCAATAAGCTGCCTTATTGTGTTATTGACTGTGTCCTTTGCTGTGCAGAAGCTTCTCATTTTCATAAGGTCCCATTTATTTATTTTTCCTCTCAGACTCATTGTTACAGGTGTTATATTTAGGAAGTGGTCTTTAGTTCCATACTTGGAAGGCTACTTTTCACTTTCTCTCCTATCAGTTTCAGTGTGGTCAGATTTATATTAAGGTCTTTATCCCCTTTGGACTTGAGTATTGTGCATGGTGATAGATATCCACCTATTTGCATTCCTTTACATGTTGATATCCAGTTATGCCATAAGCATTTGTTGCAGATGCTTTCTTTTTTCATTGTATAATTTTAGCTTATTTGTCAAAAATCAGGTGTTCATAGGTGTGAGGATTAATATCTGGGTCTTTGATTCAATTCCGTCATTCAATCTGTCTGTGTTTTTGTCCATCATCTCTTCCTCAAACCTCCAAAATGAACTGTTTGCTTAATTAAAACATATGTTCCCAGGTGTCTCAATCATCTCAGTGTACCATTTTGATATTGTCCCGAGCAGTGTGTAGTCCAAACCTGATGTTTAGATGGTGAAACAATTACATAGTGCACTTGAAATCTTCCTTGTGTGACTCATACTTCTTCTGGAGACTTCAGAGTCACTGTAATGCATGCTCATATTTCATTGCAAAAAAACTTAATCATTTTAATTGTCATATGCAGCAGATCTGTAAGAGGTTAAAGGATGAGTATTTGTTATGTATACGTAGATATCAGATAGAGACTCAAACCCAAAATTAAAAACAGGAAGCTAGATGAAACCTTTCCCTAGAATTAGTTATTTCCCTATATGATCATTAATATTATGGCTAAAGAGATATTTGTTGTTAATTTCTCCCAAGAAATTACTATAAGCTCTTGCCAATGTTCATTTCCTGTCCATAATGATTCAATTTCAACATTAGTAAAACATGCTACAATTTAACCTTGGTAAATTCTTGCTAATAGATGAAGTTTCAGTTTTCTTTTTAAAAACAACTCAGATTTTTTCCACATAACTTTTAGTTTTTTAGTATGTTTATATGTTTAAAATATCGATTATAAGATAATATCTTTTCTCTGCAGTAAAATTCTTATAGGGAATGCATAGAGCATAAAATGTCTAGAATGAAGGCCAGGAGGTGGTGGCCCAAGCCTTTAATCCCAGCATGTGGGAGGCAGAGGCAGGTGGAGTTCAAGGCCAGCCTGGACTAGAAGAGGTAATTCCAGGACACATTCCAAAGTTACAGAGAAACCTGTATAAAAAAAAAGTCTTGAATGTAACCAAACTCCAGATCTAAACAATCCATAAGTGTCTCCTATAATTTTATTTCTACTAAACCATTTTTTTTCTGCTTTAGATGATAATTCTCTTTGACTTGTCACCTTTTATGGTTTGGTTCTAATTACTATTTTCAATTTTTTACTCCAATAATGGGATATAGATGGTCATTGTCTTACAACAATTTCTGAAAATTATTAAGATTCCACAAATAACCTCTCCTAATTTTTAACTTTTGGGCTCAAATTTTTTTTTTTTTGGTTTTTCGAGACAGGGTTTCTCTGTAGTTTTGGAGTCTGTCCTGGAACTAGCTCTTGTAGACCAGGCTAGTCTCTACCTCACAAAGATCGCCTGCCTCTGCCTCCCAAGTGCTGGAATTAAAGGCGTGTGCCACCACCGCCCGGCTTGGGCTCAAATTTTTATAAAAGTATTTTATATGCTGAATAATTAATAGAATCACTTTTTGTATATTTTCAGAAGTAATTCCCAGGGGACAAAGTTTGCTTTACTTCACCAACCATTTTCTCTAAAGTATTTACATTTGAATCAGCTATTGAAATTCCATATAATGTTGAAAACATACCTAACTTGAGTATAATTTCCAGTGTAATAAATAACAAAGTACTAACATGCAGTACTTTATATCCTAATTGGTTTATAATAATAACTTTCAAGGACTAGAAATTTTCATTACATGTTTAAGTGAGTTAAATTAGATAAAATGGTTTGAGTAAGAATATAAAAATCATAGACAGTATGTTTTGACACAAAATGTCAAGTTTATGTCAAAATGGAGCATCCATATCTATATCAATATAAAACATAAAAATAAGTAGTTGCCTTTTTAAATTAATTTTAATGATCTACACTTTTACATCATACACATATATGCCCCTTTATTCTTTTTAGATTCAGTAATCTACACTTTTATCCTATCATTTCATTGTGTGCCTTTTGTAAGTGGATGTATATTTATGAATATATAGAGCTGGTTTTGGAGATGGACACTGGCTCTGTCCCTGTATAATTCCAAGCATGTCGTTAAAATAAAAATTCAGAGTTTCTCTCTCAATGTCAGGAACATGGAACAGAAAGAAAAAAGAATTTAGAAAAATTTTCACTTTTCTACATTTCTACTTTCAAGTCTATTGTACATGTCATTGAATATATATGTCTGTATGTGACTATAAATAATGTTTCAGTTTTCCACAATGAACAAAGAATTTTCCTGCAGTAATTTCTGAAGTTTTCAGGAAGAAGTTGGGGCCCCACAACAACAACTCAACCTGGTTGATACGATGGCATGATGATGATAGTGCTACTACCAGACGTGTTTCGCATACCAGCTGCTCAAGATGGTTCCAACCTGGTTAGCTGAAATGGTCCACTTTTTACAATGTTCTGGACAGACCTTATAAGAGGAAGATCAGAAAAAACTTTACAAAATACTCAGAGACTATTTGCAGTTATACCAGACAGTAATCTTGGAACTTAACCATCATTTTACTTTCACAGGATCCCATAGAAAGATCATTGCCCCCATGACAGCTGGAAGTAATTCTAAAAGACAAACTTTGTCTTAGGGTTAGGGACATCATTTAGGGGTTGATTATAATTGGTATAGGGTTGTGGGTTATAAGAGAAATTTTATGGGCTCAGGGATTTCTTTTTTTTTTCTTCTTAAATTTTATTTATGTATGTATATATGTATGTATGTATGTATGTATGTATGTATGTGTGTATACAGTATTCTACCTGCATATATGCTTGCGGGCCAGAAGAGGGCACCAGATCTCATTACAGATGGTTTTGAGCCACCATGTGGTTGCTGGGAATTGAACTCATGACCTTTGGAAGAGCAGGCAGTGTTCTTAACCACTGAGCCATCTCTCCAGTCCCAGGGATTTCTTTGAAAAAAAGAGAAAATTGGATGGAATAATAGATTAGTGTGAGTTTACATACATTAATAATAATAATGAGTAATAGAGTGAATGCTTGTGAGTTATAATTTATAGGTAATTGCTTTGATATAGATTTTTGTATATTGATATAATGTTAAATATTGAATATTATATGCATTCATGCTTCTACCAATGCTTAAAACATTTTATATATTGATAAATATATTTATCAAATTGCAATGTACATTTCTTCCATTGATCAAGATACTTATTCATTGGTTCCATTTTGAGCCCATTGTCCTCATTTTTGTTGTACAGTTGTTCATTGTACAATATTCTAATATGAAGTCTTAGTCTTTAAGTTATATAGGTATTAGAATTATAGATCAATAGTCATCTATGTTTGTCATACTTATAGTTAGAATAATCAGGGTTTTTAGACACATAAAGAATATATTTTGCATAGATAGGTAATTTTCAGCCACTTCAAACAGCTGTAAAATCTGGATTTTACATAACCTAGGGTACTGTTGAAGTGAGACACAATTACTACTGGTAGCATTGTCTATTTCCAGAGAATGTTGAGCACCGGAGACACTCAAAGCTTGTTTTCTTGTTGTCAAAACTAGCCTTTGGGCAAAGACATGCTCATGCCTCAACCTCTGACAAAATACATGGTATCCAAAAATGGATAAGCAGTTCTGTTAAATCTTGACTGGCATTCATCTCAGAGACAAATATACCCACCTCTGTTTGCTGAGTGTTGTGGTAAACGCAAAATACACCAATATGCCCAGTTTTTCCATCTTTTTTTTTCCCTTTCTGTAGTCATTAATTTTCTCATGCATACAACGTGCTGTTGATCTTTTCTCTTTTTCTTCCCTTTGAATAGATACTGCTCTTATAAGGTGGTATCTTATACAAAGGACACAGAAATAAGAGAATTGATTCTCCTTTTCAATTTCCTTCTAAAGTGACTGTCTATGTCATAGAACAAGAATGGGGAACACCAGAATCATAAAACTATACTTTCAAAGAAGTATGCATTTCACTCTCATCCTTACATTGTACTCATGTATGGTGTATTTTAGAAGGCAGTGAGCTATGATGATGTGCACATCAACTTCACTAAGGAAGAGTGGGATTTACTGAATCCTTCCCAGAAGAATCTCTACAAAGATGTGATGCTGGAGACCTACAGGAACCTCACTACTATAGGTGAAAATGAATTTCTTTCATGTTTCAAAACATGGAGACAACTTTTCCTTGGTTTATGATTTTGTTCTATAATTTATTTTAGAGAAAGAATAATGGGGTGAATATCACAGTCACAGTTCTTAGGTGCACTTAAGATAATAAGCTAATTGTTGCACATTCTTAAATTATATAATATATATTCTGGTACTGTATTTCAGGATACATTTGGGAAGACCTTAACACCGAAGAGCATTGTCAATGTTCTAGAAGACATGCAAGGTAATTTTCTTGGGCAAGTTCATAACAATTTCCCTTGAATAGTTTGTAATGTGTTCTGGAACTTTAAAACAAAAGCAACAGTGTAAATGACCACAGCTTTAAATGTATTGATGGTTGTTAAGTTCTCACAAATCAATATACCTCAATTTCATGTATGTGAATTGCATCTGCAAAGCCTTCATTTAAGAAAAAGTCTAGGTAGCAATGCATAAACAGATATCACCATTTGATTCATAGCACCGTGAGAGCTATGTTGTAGAACTGCTGCTTCATTTGCTTCTTGCTATTCATGACAGAAAATGTATACATACTTCAGTGATGATGAGTTTAGCTGCAAAACTTTCTACTAATTCAATAGCCCATGGTAAGCCTTGTATCACTCATATACTTTTTTTGACTGCTAAGTTTAGTGAAATCAGATTAGTCAAGGGTCAAGGGGCAATTGTCATGGAGAAATCTTAATATATATACCACAAGTCTGTGAATGTTGAAACTTGTGGATTCATTTTGGAAATCTTTCATACACTATTCTTTTTTCATATATATGTACATATATTACAACATAATATATGTACATATATTACGACATAATAATCTTCAAATCCATAAAAGAACACATACTGGAGAGAAACCCTATGAATGTAATCAGTGTGGTAAATTATCCTTGCAGGATTGAAAGAAATCAAACTGGAGAGAAGTTTTCAGTATATTCTCACTGTGGTAAAGTCTTGTCTTATAACTCTTATCTTCTAAGGAATGAAAAAACACATAGCGGAGAAAAATGCTTTGAAATTAAGCAATGTGATGAAGTCTTTTCTTATCACAATCATCTTGAAATGCATAAAAGAACACGCACTGGAGAGAAACCCTATGAATATCGTCAAGATGATAAAGACTTTCTTCTTTATGCAACTCATCAAAGTCATAAACAAATATATACTGGAGACAAACATCATGAATGTAATGAGTATGGTAAGGCCTTTACACAGACCATTGCTCTTCAATACCATAAAATAACACATACTGGAGAAATACCCTATGAATGTAATCAGTGTGCTAAGGTCTTTGCATGTCACAGTGATCTTCAAAGGCATAAAAGAACACATACTGGAGAGAAACCCTATGAATGTGACCAGTGTGGTAAGGCCTTTGCACGTCGCAGTGGTCTTCAAATACATAAAAGAACACATACTGGAGAGAAACCCTATGAATGTAATCAGTGTGGTAAGGCCTTTGCACGACATAATAATCTTCAATTGCATCAAAGAACACATACTGGAGAGAAACCCTATGAATGTAATCAGTGTGGAAAAGCCTTTGCACACCACAGTCATCTTCAAATCCATAAAAGAACACATACTGGAGAGAAACCCTATGAATGTAATCAGTGTGGTAAGGCCTTTGCACAACACAGTACTCTTCAAAGCCATGAAAGATCACATACTGGAGAGAAGCCCTATGAATGTAATCAGTGTGGTAAGGCCTTTGGATGTAACAGTCATCTTCAAAGGCATAAAAGAACACATACTGTAGAGAAACCCTATAAATGTAATCAGTGTGGTAAGGCCTTTGCTCAACACAGTAATCTTCAATTGCATAAAAGAACACATACTGGAGAGAAACCTTATGAATGTAATCATTGTGGTAAGGCCTATGCATGGCACGGTGATCTTCAAAGGCATAAAAGAACACATACTGGAGAGAAACCCTATGAATGTAATCACTGTGGTAAGACCTTTGTTCAACACAGTAATCTTCAAACGCATAAAAGAACACATACTGGAGAGAAACCCTATGAATGTAATCACTGTGGTAAGTCCTTTGCAGCTCAGAGTAGTCTTCAAAATCATAAAAGAACACATACTGGAGAGAAACCCTATGAATGTAATCATTGTGGTAAGGCCTTTGCACGTCATGGTCATCTTCGAGTGCATAAAAGAACACATACTGTAGAGAAACCCTATGATATAAGCAGTATGGTAAGGCCTTTGCACGACATAATCATCTTTAATTGCATAAAAGAATACATACTTTAGAGAAACCCTATGATTGTAAGCAGTGTGGTTATGCCTTTGCTCAATGTGGTTCTCTTCAAATGCATAAAAGAACACATACTTGAGAGAAACTGAATGATATCAGTGTTATAAGGCCTTTGCAGACCCCAGTAATCTTAAAAGGCTTAAAATGTAACATACTCTAGAGATACCTGTTAATGGAATGTGATAAATTCTTTTTCATAATCATCTCCAAATACGTACTATGAGCCCTTCTGTAGAGAAATCCTGGAGTTAATTTGTATACTTTTCAAAAACATGAAAAAAATCATACTGTAGTGAAACTCTATAAATGAATTCAGTGTCATGATGTTTTGTGCTTCACAGAAGAGTAAGACTTTGTGTGTAGTCATCTGAAAAAGCTTGTGGATATTATCATAATCTTTTGGACCTCAGGAAAAAACTGGGAGCTTATTTTAAATTGTTCTTTCATATGTTAAGCCACTATTGTCAGTTAACCAAAATCAGTTATTGTGTAGAAAAAAGTTTGATAATGTCAACAATTTGTTTATGCATCATTATACCTATCTTTATTTTAGTTTGAACCAGCAAATTAATGGATAAAACCTTATTGGTTACAGGAAGGGTATTCCAACTTTTGTCTTCAAACCAGAGCCAAAGGAAAGAACTTTGGCTCTGAATCTCGAACTAGATAACGAAACAACGTCTCCCTGAAAACAGCCAAAACATTAAAAAGGCCCAGTGAAAGAAACACAAGTTGGCTCTCAAACCAGAGCCATAAAATCCTAAGAGTTTCAACAATGTTTTTAAGCTCAAAGGATACCATTAGCTGAAATATGAGAGGCATGAAGAGTCAAATCTCTCATATGTTTACTTGTATGTTTTGTATAAAAGTATCCTTAGAAGTTGGGGATAAAATTATGGTTATCAGAAGATTGGGAGTGGTCATCAAGAAGGTAGATAGAAGGTGGTTACAAGGAATATTTTCTGAAAAAGAAAGATGGCTTGAAGTAAAAAATGATGGAAAAATCACCCTTAACAGTGGCCGCAAATAATATAAAATATTATGGAATTACCAACTAAAAAAGTGAAAGGACTGTAGGAAAAGAACATTAAATCTTTGAAGAAGACAGCAGAGAATGGGAAGATGTCCCTTGCCCTTGTTAGGTAGAAATCAACATAGCAATCTACAGGCTCACTACCATTCCCATGTAAGTATCAGAAAAATTCTTCACAGATCTCAAAATAAAAACACTCAACTTCATATAGAAAAGCCAAAAAAATTGCAGGATAGCCAAAACTATCCTATATAAAAATAATTTCTGCAGGCATCACATTCCTTGACTTCTTCAGATGAATACAGAGCTCCAGTACTGAAGAGAGCCTGGTGTTGGCACAAAAACAGATAGGAGGACCAATGGAACTGATGCTGGCTAAGACCCAGACATCACTCCACTCACCTACTACACCTGATTTTTGACAAAGCACCAAAAAATATAAAATGGAGAAAACATTTAACAAATGGTGCTGGCATAACTGAATATCAATGTGGGGAAGAATGAAAGTAGATCCACATCTATCATCATGAACAAAACTCAAGTCCCAATGGATCAAAGACTACAACATAAAGACAAACACACTGAACTACATAAAACAGAATATTGGAAGTACACTTGAACACATTGGTAAAGAGGACCACTTTCAAATTATAACCCCAGGCATCACAGACACTGAGAAAAATAATAAATGAGATCTCCTGAAGCAAAAGTTTCTGTAAAATAAAGGACATGATCAACAACACAAAAAAGACAGTCTGTAATATGGGAAAAGATATTCACCTACCCCACATTGGACAGAAGACTGATCTTCAAAACATACAAAGAACTTAAATAATTGGTCATCAAATAAAAAATGGAGTACTCCAATAAAAATGGAGTACAGATCTAAATAAAAAACTTTTTTAACATATGAATCTAAAATGACTGAGAGACACTTAAGGAAATTTCCAAACTCCTTATTCATTAGAGAAATGAAAATCAAAACAAATCTGAGATTCCCTCTTACATCTATAACAATAGGCAAGATCAAAACACTGATGACAACTTAAGCTGGAGAGGATGTGGAATTAAGGGAACACTCCTCCATTGCTGATGGGGTTACAAACTGAGTCAGCTACTTTGGATATCAGTATGGTTATTCCATAGAAAATTAGAAAGCTACCTGCCTGGTTGTGAGGCATGACTTTAATCCCTGCACTTGGGAGCCAGAGATAGATCTCTGTGACTTCAAGGCCAACCTGGTCTACAAAAGCTAGTTCCAGTACAGGCTCCAAAGTTAAAGAGAAACCCTGTTTTGGAGAACCAAAAATTAAAAAAAAAAAAAGACTGAAAGAAAATTCATAAACAGCTTATCTTAAGACCCAGCCATGCCCTTTGGATATGTACTCAATGGATGCTTGTTGGGTGTGGTAGTACACACCTTTAATCCCAACACTTGGGAGGCAGAGGGAGATTGACCTCTGTGACTTCAAGGTGTAGTAGCACAGGCCTTTAATCCCAATGCCTGGGAGGCAGAGATGAGAGGATCTCTGAGAGTTCAAGGACAGCCTGGTCTACAGAGTTATTCCAGGAAAAGATATATGGAAAAACTGTCTCAAAAAGTAAAAATAAACAAAATAGAGTTAAAATAAAGCTGTACAAAGATGGGAAAGAAACAGAATTTTGATAATGTATGCTATTATGCTCTCTTTGATTTGTTTGAATGCTGAGGAAGGAGCAACAGATGCCAAAAGATATTTGTTTATAAATGCTGCTGAACTAATCCAATGTAGAGATTTTGAAAATACCTTGACTTTAGAATTTGGATCTAAGGATATGATACTTTGCAAAGGAGTTTATTTTGTTTTCACAGAGGATGAAACCCTGTGGATTGCTTCTATCCCAATATGGTATGATGGACCACGCCCTCCTGAAAGGGTGCTGTGAACACCCTCAAATAATCACTTCACTCAACTTCCAACTGAGATGACCCTTGCACACAGGTTACCCCATGAAAGATATGATTAACAGCGTCCCAATGCAGCAGGAAGCAGTTTGGAGAGAAATAACTACGCCCATATTCCCAAATATTGTTTATAAATGTTATTTTATGTTTAAAGAGGGATATGATATAGATATGAATAATGTGCATTGATATGGATTTTGCTTTAGTGGTTTAAATTTAAGGTCAATTTTGTTATATGTATATGTATTATGTATATGATTAAGGTATTGTAATTGTGTAGTTCATTTAAAAATGTAATGTCTATAGGTTGTTAATGCATAATCAACAGTAGTCAAGTTTGTAGTCATGTTAGTTAGATTTTCTAGATATATAGAGATATATTTCAGTTAGATCAGCATTATTCATATCTTTCAAAGACTACGGAATATGCTATTTAATGTTTTAATAACTTAGGGTTTTTCGTGACAATGAGACATATCTGTTCCTGGCAGCACCAGCTACTTCAAGAGGAAGATGGGCATCGAAGAGGCTCCTTATGGAGTATGATAACCATTTGGGTAAGAAACTGCTCTTGCCTGGACTGTTGCATAAAATGGACACAGAGAACCCACAGAGAGAGGACTGCTGAACTTGCCTAAAAGTGAGACGGTCTTTCGGGGTTCCTGATTCATGAGCGTCTGCGAGACATTCTGCAGGACACAGCAGAAAGTGACTGAACTGTCTTTGAAATTTCCTGCTTTATGGAAATGTCTGCTGGAAACCATGGGTCTGTAGGCCGAAGATGGATGCCCCAACAGTACAGAGAAACTTTGGGTGACTGTCCAGGCAGCGAGATATCTCTGTCATTTCTAGAGTTTGGAAGTTGCTTATTTCTTCTTTGCTTAGGTAATATTGTATCTTTCTGGAGTCTTTGATGGAGTTGAAGAATAGTTAGTTATAGTTATAATTTTCCTTAGTTATGATAAAGATAAAATAGATGTAAATATTGTAATTTTTACTTGATACCCATTTTGATATATGTAATTTTGCTATGTTAAAGTTAAAGCCTTCCTTTTTTTTGTTTAAACAGAAAAAGGGGAAATGATGGAGGAAGGTCATTGGTTAAAAAAATAAAGAAACTGCTTGGCTGGCCCTCATAGGTTAAACATAGGTGGGAGAAGTAAAAAGAACAGAATGCTCCCCTCTCCCGGGGAGACGCGATCGATTAAGCTCCGACCCAGGATGGACGTAGGCTAGAATCTTCCAGGGTGCTACACACATTATTAGAAATGGGATAGTCCAGGTGCGAGAGTTAGCCGAGAAGAGGCTAGATATAATGGGCCAAGCAGTGTTTAAAAGAATACAGTTTGTGTGTTGTTATTTCTGATGTAAAGCTAGCCGTGCGGGAGCCGGGCAGGACGAAAATCAGGCCCGCAGCTCCTACAACAGATGCTCAATCATACCACAAGGAATAATGCTCAACTGTCTTCACAACAACATTATTTGTCAGAGCCAGAACCTGAAAACAACCCCTCCACTGAAGAATGGACAAAGAAATTGTGGTATGTTTACACAATGGAGTATTACACAGTGGATAAAAACAATTACATCTTGAAATTTATGTGCAAATTTATGGATCTAGAAAACATCCTAAAAGAGTGAGTTAACCTTGAGCCAGAAAGAAAAATATATACTCACTCGTAAATGGCTTTTAGACATAAAACAGAGGACAGTCAGCGTACAATTCACAATGCCCAGAACATATACAACAAAGAGGAAACAGAGACATACATAAATCTATTCTATATAGGCCATAGAGAAAGACAAGATCTTAGTAAATTTGGAACATGTGAATCATGGCAGAAGGGGAGGGGAGAGGAAGGGTGAGTATTGGATAAATATATACTTGAATAAAAAACAATTAAAAAATCCTGGATACACAGCTGTTCGTGGGTGAATTATACAAAGTGATAGTATAAAATGAATAGCTGAAATATGGAACTTTGCTTCATTTTGTAGCGGAATAAAATACTTCCTCTTGCTAAGGCAGAATGATTTATGATATTTACTTAAAAACAATCCACACATTTTCCAAAAGAAAATTAAAGATTTGTACCGTATCTCCCAATCTTCCCAAACCTATAATCACACATACAAACACATGAGACAGAAGTGTTTGATTTTACTTAATATAGCTACATTCATTCTAAGTTCATCATGTAACACCGAGTTCATGTTTTAATGATGAATTTTGAAAGCTGTACAAGTCAGAGTGACAGACTCTGAACTATATGAGTACTAATTGAATCTTTGCCTTTTGAAAACACCAAGTTAGAGTGTAAGAATATCTTGGGCTTTTATAGGTCAGATGAGCACCTACAGAGCAATGGATCTTATATACAATATAGCTGAATCCAGAATCAGGAGCTGGATTCAAGAAAACAACCACACACTACAGATTCATTTATACTGTAAGAGACCATGCCCAAGTGGATTGATATCTTAAAGCTATTGACTGAAGGAACTCTCACAGCACCTACCCATTTAACTTAATAAGAAATTCCAAACCCTATACAAAACTATGTACACAAGAAACAGATGTCAAAAGTAAAGTTAGAATTACAATAAGCAGCTGGGCAGTGGTGGTGCATGCCTTTAATTCCAGCACTTGGGAGGCAGAGGCAGGTGGATCTCTGTGAGTTCGAGACCAGCCTGGTCTACAAGAGCTAGTTCCAGGACAGGCTCCAAAACCACAGAGAAACCCTGTCTCGAAAAAAAAAAAAAAGAATTATGATAAGCTTAATGAATATTAAGGAAGAATACATCCTAATGGTTTGATAAGCATTCTATCCCAAGGAATCCATGTTGCAGTAAAAATGGCTTAACTAGATTATAAGAGGGTGGTAAGTATGATTATCTCATCTTCAACCCCATCAATTCCTGAGAAGAGCAATAATATTACTTGAGTAGGCAGGTAGTACAGTCTAGCAGCTTGGAAAAAGTGTAGTAGATGACAGAGACAACTGACTGAGCAATCAACCAAAGTCTCATCACAGTGTTGAAGAATAAGACTTCATATCAGAATATAAAACAATCTTTAGGGCTGGAGAGATGGCTCAGTGGTTAAGAGCATTGCCTGCTCTTCCAAAGGTCCTGAGTTCAATTCCCGGCAACCACATATTGGCTCACAACCATCTGTAATGAGGTCTGGTGCCCTCTTCTGGCCTGCAGGCATACACACAGGCAGAATATTGTATACATAATAAATAAATAAGTATTTAAAAAAAAAATAAAACAATCTTTAAACAACTATGCAGTAAAGCAGGACAATGACCTCAAAATGTAAACAATGTATAAAAATCTTGATCAGAGGTAGAGTTATATAATGCAATATGATCAATATATCATAAAATTGCATCAATAAAAATATGTTTTAAACAGAGGTAGAATGATGCATTTATACAGTCTGACAAAATATCCTTTTATTGTTGTTACAAATATTGTAAACAAAAACAGAA